TTTTTAGAGGATTTGAGGCTGAAGGATCATGAAAAAATTCTGGCCTATTTCAACTATAGATTTTTAACAATAGCTTAGGGAATTTATGCACATTAAAGAGAACATTTATATAACCGTGAACCACAGAAGTACCACGTGGGGGCTTCATATAAGAAAGGGCGTGAAGCACACATCACAAATAAGAGAAGGATTACATCCTTGTCTTATCCTGGATTTAAAAACAGACCATACGGCACCGCAGTCAGCGTCACTAACCACTATACCGGATGGACAATTTCATACACATTTTTCCTAGTACATCTGAAGAGCTCATTACTAGGAGCACTACCAAATACAGAATATATCAAACCAATAACGAAAAAGAATTTTGAAATAGTTTTACCAATTTATTGCGCAAAAATTTTCACTTCTAACTGCTGCGCCAATGAACACTGAACAGATAAAAATCTTGCATCTACCACCGCAAATCAGACAGCAATTAGGAGGTATAATTTTTGCACTGGGTTTGGAAATTTAAATCTACGGCATTCCTACCGTGTTTTTAGAGTGCAATTACAATCTTGATTTGCGAAGTAAATTCAGACAGTTTTTGTTTGGGGTGATAGACTTGAAACAGCTCGAAATTGTATTCAGGACGAGACCTTTCATATCGGAGATCATTTTCATTGGACTGTAAGTACTGTTTTGATGATGATATGCGAATAATATTAAAAAACATTTCAATAGCCGATCTAATTCATGCAGTGAGACGCATTCCAAGAACTAATAGTATAGAATAATAGCTTGAGACATCACGTAGGAAAATTCCACAAAATTGGACAGAAATATCGCGAAATAAAAGACAATTTCTTTCTAGGAAACTACACAGGTATACGTCATTATTTACGAGAATTCGAGGCCCACAATGGTGTACCAGTGCATCTATTACGCTTTAGGAAGCGGAATGCTACACCAGTATGACATGTATTCGTGTATCTCTCTATTAAGCACTGCTGCATTAAATTCTATGCTTACCCGTTTGCCAACACAAGAATTCTGCGAATTGTTTAAAACTATCTTACGATGGCCATTTTAAATTATGTTCTTGGGTATAGTATAATTTCCAGCAGCATATAAATAAAGATTTATTTTCTTGAATAGTTACATTTATATATTAATTGTAGATTAGGAATGGGTTTTGAAGATCATGTGCCTATAGAAATTTTTGAACGATTTTGGATATCATATTTTTATATTTGGAATGCCAAGTATAAATAAAGTTTTAAGGAGGAGGTAGCCTCTACGCTCTTACGAAATATGTATTCGATAATTTGGAAGATTATGATGCAAGACAATTTCGGCATTTGGTAAACTCGTACTTTCCCGACTAAATTCTAGAATAAATTTTTAAATGCTTCTGTGCTCTAAATGGTAACGTCGAATGTTTGGTTTCAGATAATTAAATCATTTTTATATTTTTACGGTTTTGTACATATTTTTCTAAAATAAAGCAGTTCACCAAAAATTCTGACAAATAATTTGAATTAAATTTTAAAATTATGTTTTTCTACAGATTTTTTGGATTAAAGATGCTTAATATAACCAAATTGGGAACAATTTCTCCCTCTATACAAATGTATCGTATTTATAGGCAAGTAGTAGAAGCAAGAAAGTGATTACCGAATAATACAGAAGTAATCATTTAACTTTTTGAAGTTATACTTCGTATTGGGCGTTCGGGAAGAAGGATGAGGGTAACTTTTTACGATGCGCGAGAGCACCGTCACGGGTGTGACGCACACCATCACGAATGCGAACATGCTTTGTTTAGAAATATACCGAATGGGTCAGATCATTCCCGCCTTCGATATTATGAGAAAAATATTTCTCTTAACTTTACTGAAGAAAGGGACACCCAGGTTTGAAGCGGGAACCTCTCGATCTACAGTCGAAAGCTCTACCACTGAGCTATACATCTCGCGTCGGCGAACCTTTGCTTTGCGTTACGTAGGAACGGATACGAAAATGCTTTGCCTAAAAGTATACAGAATGGGACAGATCTTTTTCCCGATTCGAAATTTTAAAAAAAATATTTCCTTTTACTATATTAGTCATGTTTTTTTGGGAGTTGGGAAAAAGGTTGGGGGAAAATTTTTACGATGCGCCCCACACCATTACGGTTGAACGCATTTTTTCCCGACCGCCACCGATGCGCCCCATCGGTGGCGTTTAGTAGTAAAATTTTTAACATGCTATTTTTTGGCGGGGGGACTGATTTTTGGGGGAGATCAAAAAAACTATTGTTAAAAAACCATATCTGTTGGGTCGCACCCCCCTGTCTTCCTCCCCTCTACACCCTTTTTGGGCCCAATATCTCCCCGGCCCTCACGGTTCATTGGGAACCGGGCTCATTGGGGATCCCTTTTGCTTTTCCAGTTTTATAATTGCATATTCATGGGGCTATTTCTTCCATATTTTTTTTCCCTTAAACTTTTTAGTTTGTTTAAATTCACATTTTTTTGGGCCCCTGTTCGAGTGGGCAGATTTTTTAGATTTAAACCAAATGTTCCCCCCTCGTCGAAACTCATCCAGTCATCAAAATTTTATTCCCATTGTGTAAGGCTGAGGGCTTAAGCAGTAAAATATCATCCCCACGTTAACCCTATGGGGACGGGAAAAATTTTTCCCCCCTGCAAATTGAATTTTGGAAAATTCCATTTTGGTGGTCCGCCATTTTTGGGATTAGGGGAGTTTGAGGAATTGGCCTCCTTTTCTCCCTATAGGGCTTCCGAAATAATTTGGGAATCAAATGCCCCCTTTTTGGTCGACCAAAGGCTGGATTGGGATTGTTTTTCCCCATGAGAAACCCTAGAATTTTTTCAAGACCATATCTCCATTTCTTCACCCATATTTAACATTTTAAAATTATTTTAAAATTATAACTCTTTTAAAATAACGCATAGCTCCGAGGATTTTTGAGATTTGTTAATGAAACTCGGACCATAGGTTCTCCTCGTTGACATGTTTCATCTGTCAAAATTCGTGTGTAGACGGTGGGCTTAGGAGGGCCGTTATCACTAAAATTGGAATCCCTATGTTATTAATATAGGGTTCAAACATTTGATGACGTAACGATATTATAGAGATAGAAGGATGAAACTTTGGGATCGATTACTACTCTGTATATTGGGATATACGTGACCATTTACGTCATGGTTGTAACCCTGGGAAGGAATTAGTTTCGTTCCCTTTTCCCGAGGTAACACCGCCCCATTTACAACTACAGACTCTGGACTAGATTGAATGGATTCATTTTGTGTTTCCTCACAACCAGTCCCAGTTTCGAGTTGCTGGGTGCCCTGATTCTATTTTATTTAATTGTTTTAAATGTTTTAGTTATTTTAAATGGACCACTTTACTCGGGGACTCTTAAGGTAGATGTCTTTTCTCAGTAACGATTCTTCCCGCTGAGACATTCACTGTGAGGACTCTGGTTTCACATTCAATTCAACTCTTCTACAAGTACAATCTACCGAAAACTCCCCACAACTTGTTGGTCCTATTGTCCCTGTGCGGGGTGTTTAAATTTATTTTTAAAACGGCTTTTTTCTCGGGGTTCTGGTCCGATTGACTGAAAAGGGTTTGGGATTGGCCTTTTGTGCTTGTGACCGCTTTTTGTCTTTTTGGGCCCCGCTTTGCTCTTTTAAAATTTTAAAAAAAATTTTAATCTTGTTACCCAAAAAAAAATAACTTACGTGATTACAAAAAGTACACACACACCCTTTTTGTTTACTATTTTATTGTTATAAAATTTAAGGGCTAGAAAATTCCCCCCACGAACCCCCGCATGACATTAGAAATTTTTTTAATCACCCCCATAATTCAATTTAATTTTATGCAGATTTGTTAAAAAAGGAAAAACTATTTCCTATGGTTTATTTATCTATCAAAGAATATATCAATTCTGCACATATATTCCCTAGTTTTTAAAGATTAAAAGTGAAATGAGATATAGGCAATGATTAGCTGCGCTGTTTCTTGGGCTAAGTATGAGCGTTGTATCCCAGTGAACCGGTAACTGTTCCGATTTTGAAGTGTAAAGTGTTCGAGTTTATTGCAGCTGAAAATCCGCAATGTTTGCGAAGGATAAATTATTTCAGAGGATTTGTGCTTGTTTATTACTTTTCTCCCACCTAGTAATCTCTGAATACGCATTCCTACGTGAAAAATACAGCTGTTAAGGAAGAGTAGAAGAGTGAATCCCGTAAATTTAATATGCAATAAGATATTAATTATAAATCATACAAATACTCAAGGTAATAGTTAGTTTTTGTATATAATTTTGTATATAGTAAGAGTCCATGGGGTCTCTGGTAATTATTAAAATTGTACTTAACTCAGTATTGTTTAATTAATTATAAAATACATTGCAATACTGATATATTAATAAGTGTACTATATCAGTGTAACTGTGTACTTTATTTATTTATATGTCGGAATGTATTTTATTTATTTACCTTTAGTAAATTAATAATCTTTTCAAAACATTCTTTTGTTTTCAAGTTTTTAATATGTTCGCACCCCCTCCAACAATTATGTTCCCCTAGGGGCGCGCCCAACAGTTTGAGAAACATTGAGGTAACCGACTGGTTTTTGGCATATAACGTGTTCGTATCCAATGCCAATGGAAACCCGCAGTGTAGAGGGAGCTGTTGCAAGTTAAATCACCGAGGCTTAAGCGTCCTCCCGTTGTTGTGGGATGGAAGCTAGGTTGTCATCCAAGTGACATAATAGTTCAGAATTAGTTTCGCCTCCAATCGTGCAACAGAAGAATTACGGGCAGGGGAATATAAATAGGTAATTATTTTATTAAACTGCTCTGAATTGCAGTTTTCGCCATCAAAGCTATCAATAGACTATTCTACTAAAACAGAAATACAATAAGAACTGTAAAATAATTTAAATATCGAAATTCACTTTGATATTTTTAACTTTTCATTTCAGGTTAATTTAAAGACGTTGCTACGTGAGGAGCTAAACTGAGTACAGAGATTGAAAAACTGGAAATTTTAAAGCAGTATATGAATTGAAATATTGTTCCATGCGAAATGTCTGCTAAGCAGAATGTCAATGAGAATCCTTTCTAATATTTGCATTGGGCTTTTCCCCCCATTGGAAAAAAATTTCCCCTACCCGGGCATCCTTAACTCTTAAAAAAAAAGAGCAACTCGCATAACTATCTATAGAATAAAGTTTTTTTATTTTGTTCATCTGAAACATATCCTACAACGAATCTGAAAGAATTTAAATTTAGTACTAACGCTTGTTTATCTGCAAGTTTTAAGCCTAATATGAATATCAAGTTTTTCTTACTTGAACTTATAGCTCATGCAAGAATAGCCCAGGGAATCTTATACACATTTGACCTAGAAGTTCTGAAAAACACATTCCTGAATGCCGAATATAAACGAACAATAGCGAAAGATTTCTGAACTAGTTTTACCAACTTATTGCGAAACATTTTCAGTCGACTGTGCGCGAAGACACCCCGAAGGACCAATAATTGACATCTACCACCTGAAGTCCAAAAAACAATTGAGAGGTAAGTTCAGCACTGATCTTCGGATACAAAATGGTTCAACAGCCCATGATTAATTTTGCGAGGAAGCAATCAAAAATTTAAAAAACAAACTCGTTTGGGTTTTTCCTTTGGGGTGATGATCGACTGGGAAAATGCTCGAAATTTTATTCGGATGGGGCTGGGGTATCGGAGCACGCTTTTTAGGAGCAATTACTTTCGAAGACGATGTGCAAATGTTTGGAGAAACATGACAAATCATACTGGATTCACATTCATACAACTTCCAAAAGTCATAAAATAAGGATATGGCTAGACACATTAAATAGATATATTCCCCAAAAAATTTGGGGAAAACATTTGTATATTCAAAAACTGAGTTTTTCCGTGAAAAAAACGTTGGGAAAACGTAGTTATTTCTCGAAACTTCGAGTTTCAGGGGAAATGAGGGAAAAAGTCATCCGTTTCGCTTTTTTGAAGGGGGGAGTACACCACTTGATTTGTATTCGTGCATTTCTATTAAAAATTGATGATTAAAACCCCCACGTACTCGTTTGGAAAAACCTGAATTCTGTAAATTATTTGAATGTTTCTTTTAAGGCCATTTCAAATTATTTTTTTTGATTTAGTAAATTATTTCCCGAATAATATTAGTGAAGATATATTTTCTTGTGGTAACCTTTTTATTGACGTGGGAAATAGGGTCGGGGTTTCAAGACAATATTTTATAGAAATTTTAAGATCTTTTGGAATTTATTCTCACCCAAGTATGAAAGCTGTATTAAGAAAGAGGTGGAACTGTACAATCTTGCAACTCATGTTTTGGAAAGCTCGAAAGATTATGATGTCGTAAAATATGAGCATTTGTTAAAATCGTACTTTTCCAAATCGACGCTAGAATGAAATAATTCGGATATATACCTTTGCTACTTTTAACAGTGATTTAATCAACGACGTTGAATTTTTGGATTCAAATTAATAAATATTTTTTATGTTTCCTGCTTTTGATTTATTTTTTATTATTCAACAATTTACTAATTTTTTTTGTCTACAAATTTCGTTAAAGCTTACGGTTTGCTACAAAACTTCTGGATTGAAAATTTCTTTAGACAATGCTAAATGTAACTTATAAAAATTAGAGAAATATATTTTACTTTATGCACCTATGTATCAGCTAGACATGTAAGCGGAGCATATAAAAGGTATGGAAGGGTAAAATTAAAACAGTGGCTAACATTTAATTTTATGGATCTCAGTTAAATTTTTCTGTTTTATTGTTTTATTCAAGACAATGGAATTACTGATTAGCTGACATGACATTACAAATTTAATCGCAACTGCATTTATAATTGAAGAAATTCACAAATTATAAAACAGTAAAATAAATTTTATGGGCCCTT